TCGAATTTATAATCTCAAAATGTCGGTAATATCCGGTATTTTATGAGTAGGTCTTCCTTTAATTTTAAATATAAAAAAAAGTCTTCCTTAAATTATATATTATATAATAATTAATAAATTGAATCGATGAACATGCATGAATCTATGAATTGTTTGTTGAATACATCCCCACATGCTAAGATGCTTTCACATTTCAAATTATATAAATATTAACTTGTAATGTCGGTTATGTGATATTGTGATTACAAGCTATTAATTATCTCGTTCGGTTATTTTCATACCCAAAATAACTAAAATCATATTACATTGTAACTTTTACTCATATAATATAAGATAAAAAATCTAAAAATAATGATTTTGACTGTTGTTATAATATATTTTCACATTTATATTTTTCTTTCTCAAGAAATTCTGTTTTATTATTTATAATTTTAAAATTTAACTATTGTTATTATAAGTTGTGATTTTCATCATTTACTATATTTTAAAGTTACATATTCAATCCCTTGCATATTCTTTTTTTATAGTTTTCATTTTTATTAGACACATTTTCAAACTTTATTTTATCCGCGAATTCAATACATAATTTTTTGGATCAAAACTTTATTTTGATATTTTTATGTTCCACTTGATATTGTATAATTATCACCCTACTATATATAGATTGTTAACATTTGTAAATCACATTCTATATCCGAATTGCAAAAGATAACCCCGCACATTAAATTTATTTTTTTCTATTCCTTTTTAATAGTTTTCATTTTTATTAATTACAAACAATTTTTTTCCGTAAGACATGAGACGACTCAAATACTAGTTAGAGTAAATTACATGAATCGTCTATATGGTTTGTGATATGATATTTATCAAAATCATTATCTCACAAACGATAAATATTTTGAAAATAACGATTTCACACATACGGATTGTGGGGAATTTGCCGCATCTCATAACATGATCTCTGTAACATCCAAAAAATCACGATAGATTTTAATTTTTCAAAAACAACCCAAAATCATAATTGTTTACAAAACCATTGTTTCAAAAGTGTATTGCAGTAATCAGAGTATCCAAAAATCTAAATAATGTAAAACCAAAGGATATGCACGATCACCTCTTCGCTTTGTCATAGTCATTTGAAGTACCTGAAACAATAAACTAAAACTGTAAGCCAAAACTTAGTGAGTTCCCCCAAAGTACCAACACACACAACATATAATGAGTACACAACTAACAGACTAGATTATCCCTGAACCCATAGTATGAGTCTGGCTTGCCTTTTAGGCCTATAACTCATATCTGGCTTGTTCCCGAGCTCACATGATAAGTCTGGCTTGCCTTTCAGGCCCACAACTTATGTATAGCTTGCTCCCGGGTGTGTTGGCTATCGCACAAAGCAATACTACCTCAACCCAACCATACTATGTAGATATATACATAACATATAACATATATCCAATAAACAGATAAACATATAACCAATCAATAGACAATCATAAAGATCTACATATCACTACAACATATTACATCCTATATACCAAGACACGGATGTACACTATATCATAGTAACATCCTCTGTACCAGGATACATAACTAATGGTCCAACATTGTTGCCTTCGACCTGCAAGAACAGTGAGGAAAACTCACTTCTCAGTCTAAAATGATCGCTGAACAGGCCACAACTCCAAGTATTAGCTCTACCGGTCACCTATCTAACAATTAGTGACAAATTCTCAAATACAACTCATAACACCCAAAATACCCCTATGTCAAATGTGGTCAAGGTCAATGGTTAAAGTCAAAGTCAATTGCATCAGGTTTCCATGTGTGGCCATACTTGGCCATGCCATAGCCACCAAATGACAACACGGTCGAGTCTCAGCCCAATCACTACGCCGTGGAGACCTTAGCCACACCGTGGGCACTGGGCTTCCCAACAACTTTGGATTAAGTCGATTTTCTTGATCTTAAGGGATCCAAAGACCAGATCTGGTCCATTCCAAGGTCCAAGTGGATAAAGTTCCAACTTTATCCCTTTAGACTCTCTAACGGATAACGATCCCATTTCTAGACCTAAAATGGGCAAGAACCTAACTTGGCTTAGCCCGTTAATCACTTTCTCTTGAAGGCTACTAGATCCCCATTTTCAGAACGTTTCTAGCATCAAATAAAAACATAAAAAAACCTTACTTTCTAAACATGCATGTCTAATGCATGTCTTGGACTCTATTAGGTCAAAATGAGGGTTTTTGGCCAAATCTTCCATGCATGATGCTAAAAAATCAATGCTATTTCAGATCCATAGCATCTAAGGTCCAAAATGACCTGGAGATTCATAAGGTTGCAAACTTTGATCTCACCACCCAATGATCAAGGACATGAAGATCAAGGCATGAAAACCTAGATTTATGCATAATAAACCAAAAATCTTGAAACTTGGGGACTTATAAGATTCCAAAAGATGCACAATAAGATGGTGAGAATAGTTGCTTGCTAAATCCAAGCCTAGAAGTCACCTCCTTCTTCTTCAATCCCCAAAAATCAACACAAAAAGCTCAGAGAGCAAAAATGGAGGCTAGGGTTTTCTTGGAGGCTGAGAGAGTGTGATGGAGGCTGAGGGCGAGCAACCCTAGCCATCACATTCCCTTAAATACGATGCAAACCCCAGATATTAGGGTTTCTCATTAAATAGTTGCCATGTCGTGACCATAGGCTACCACATCGTGGCGGCCATTTAAGACCCGCAATACAACGACCATCGCCATGTTGTGGGATGCATTCGCCACGACGTGGTACTGCCCAAAATCCAAAATATAATAAATTAAAGTAACTCTAAGAATCCAGATGTTACAATCTCACAAATATAAGTCTTTTGCAAAACATATAGGTTTCACGTGGTTTATTTCACGTTCGCTTTTGGGATTTTTTTTCTAGATTTTTTTGTATCATGTTTCTTTAACATCTTTGTGGAATGTATTATGATTAACCACTGAAATAGAAAGGTTAAACAAAGTTTGATTTAGGATTGATTTTAGGGTTGATTTTTGGAACTTTTCTAGATTTGATTTTCCTTGGGATTTTTTAGAAAGGATTATAATCAACATGGAAAGGGGAATGTTGCCTTAGGTTTAAATTTTGGATTATCTTGGATTTGATTTCATTATGTGTCTTGAGGAATTTTTTTTCTTGAAGGTACTATAATGAACCATAGAAAAGGGAAAGTTGCTTAGGTTTAAATTTGGGTTCATTTTGGATTTGATTTCATCATATATCTTTTGGATTATTCTGGATTTGATTTCATCAAATTTTTAGCTTATAAGTTTGATTTATTATTATTATTATTATTATTATTATTATTATTATTATTATTATTTTGGATTTGACTAGTGGTGGTTGTTAGAGGTTAACATGGTGATTGTCAGAGATGAATGGTGGTGGTTGCTAGAGGTGAGTGAGTTGAGTGTCGCCATATATATTTAACGTGGATGGTAGAGTAATGAGATAATATTGGTGGTTTCCAAAAGCAAAAACAATTAAAATACATATAAAAGTAAAATAGTCATTTTAAGGCGGTTTAAGATCAATACCAAAACAAAAAAAACTACATGGATGATCCAAGTTAAAAAAGAGTTAAGGACCAACTATAAACTACATGTATCATTTATGTAATTTACTTTTTAAATTATAAATACATTTTTTTAGTTGACCAAAATGGATTTTATGATGATTAGTTATATTTAATTTACTAGATTAAAACTGGCAACATGTCCTTAAGGGTGTAAAAAAACCCTAACGGAACCAAATAATGTTTGGTTTATTTAGTTCTGTTAGTTGAATATAGATAACCTTATACAGTTTGGGTTTGGTTAAATTTTCTTTAATGCGGGTTAACTGAATAACTCAAATAAGATATTAAACTAGCATTTTAAATTATATTTTTATGGTCTTATAAAATTAAACGACATTTGTTCATGGCATAACAAACACCACCAGTGGAAAAAGTTAACTAGTCGAAACCATAACTGGTGTTCACGATTCTAATTTGTTAGTTACTTAGTTGCGACAACTTTTTCTCCATGGGCCAAGCCTATAGACTGTCAAAAAGAAAATAAATGAATAATTAGTTTTTCTTTTTTCAAATAAATTGAGCCTAAGGCTGTTTTTGGTGCGCCACAGCTAACTAATAAACTAGTTTAATTTTCGAACTTTTTTATGTTGTCGTATTTGGTAAGCCAAAAAAGTAGCTTATAAGCTAGCTTTTTGAAAAGCTACTTAGGCTAGATTTTTAGGAGTTTTTAATTTTTTTTTTTCAAAATAACTCCTTAATTAATTATAGAAACACATACTTTCACATGTCCTTTTATGTAATTTTATATATTTCAGCTAGCTTTTTAGCTAATTTTACCAAACGTTATTTTTTTATTAGCTAGCTTTTCAACTATTAGTTAGCTTTTTATTTAACAACTAGCTTTTCAAGTATCAATTAGTTTTTCAGTTAACAGCTAGTACGCCAAACATAGTCTAAACCTTTAAATATTAAATGTTTGTAATTACAAAATAAATACATATATTATTTAATTACTAAAATAGATTAAGATAGAGCTAGCTTTTGAGTGATAATAAAATGATTCGTATACTTTTGGTTATTAAGGTTTTGGTTATATTTAGTTAATTTTCAGTACTTTTGGTAATTAAAACATAAGACGAATTCTCATGTGTTGTGAATGATATAAACTGTATAGTTAAAATATTTATAAATATGTGTTACTAAAAATTAATAATAGCAACGTTGTTATTAATTTTAAAATAATACTTTTTATAAGTTGATGTACAATATTTAGAACTATATAATAAGTTAGATACCTATTTAAACCATATAATTTCAACCGGTGGATTGTGTATGAAAAAAATTTAAAATAAAATAATGGATGCGTCGTTCAAAAAAAAGTCCCTAATATATTAAGTACACATAACTTGGCATCCATTACAATTTTATTCAACTTCATCAAATCAAGACTTTTCATAAATTTAGTCCCAATCTCTTCCCAACCCACCTAACTCTCCCAGTTAATTGCTATATAAACTAAGGTCATACGTACGTTGTAAGATTAAGAGGCTAAGTGTTAATTAAACCCAACAATGGATCAATACAAAGGTTCAGATGTAGACAAGTACAGATCTTTCATGAGTGGAGAAGGTGAGAAGAACACCAAATGGAAGTTGGGTGTACCCCCTAACTATGATGCAATCAACGAACTCTTTGAAGAAGGCAGAACCAAGGTTTTAATTAAATACTTATATCTTTACATTAATTTGTACCCTTTAATTTTTTTCTTAGATTTGGACCGTAATATATTGATCCCTGTATGCCTTAATACGTGATCTTGTTTCTAAAGTAATCTTCACAAATAAGTTACAGAAATGTAAACTTTACAAAAATATATAAAGAAAAGATTATTAATTTCTCGCTATTTATGAACCAAAGGAGTCTTGGTGGACCAAGGTTACTTTGAACTTCGAAGTTTGAATCGTTAACAAACTGATATACGGATGTGTACACACTCACAACCTCGTTTAATTTTTTTTTTTTTGAATCACACGTATCATAGATATATATGCTTATTCCGCTGATTAATATCATTATCAAATGCTAAACTCTACAGGGTGCGTATCTTATTTAAATTAACTAATGTTAATTTATTTTGGCTGGTTAAGATATGGGCGGCAGGTTCGCTGGGAGAGCAAGTTCAGAATCTTGTGAAAACATGGGAAATGGAGTTGGTCCACAAACCGAATTCCCAAGATCATAAGTCTGTTGATGTCACAAAGCTAACAATTTCTGTTAATGGTAAACTAGTTGATGGAAACCTGAACTTTTGTGTCGAAGCAGTTGTCTATAACTGTTGATATATGTATCTTATATACCTACTTATTGTTTGTAGGTAGGAAGCCCTTGAAAATGGAAGATGTAGGTAAGATAGGTGGGGGGTACAATATGTTTCTTCAAACTTCGTTGCCAGAAGATCTACGACTGTATAATCCCTCTGATGAAACTGGGGATACGTCTCATGATATCTTCACAACCACATTTACTCGTGGTTTTGCGTTGGAGGTTCTTGAGGTTTACTCAGGTCCTCCGGTGATTGCATATAAGTTCAGGCATTGGGGTTACATGGAAGGTCCATTCAAAGGTCAACCGCCTACGGGGGAAATTGTTGAAATGATTGGTGTCTCTACATTCGAGGTCAAGAATACTAAACTATATATCTTCTTGTCACTTACAAATGGGTTTTTGACTTGAATGTTTTTGTTGTTCTGACATTTGAATTTTCTTTTACAGTTGGATGAACAATTCAAGATCGTGAAGATCCAGTTTTTCTACGATAGAGGAGAGTTTCTTGCGGGTTTTATCAAGGGTGGGAGTACTGTGACCACCACCCAAGACTCTTCAAGATGCCCTTTTTCTTAATAAATGCATCATCATGCATGGTTTCATCTGCTACCACCATTAATGAATATGATTTTATAACAGTTAGGGTTGCAACTTGGAATAAAAAAAATTGTGTTTTCTAGTTTTCGGTTAATTATCTTTTATTTTCAGTATGTTGGGAACCTTCAAATGTTCGTGGTTGTAAACGATAATAAAATTTCCCTCTTCAAGTAATTAGTACTTATGAAATTGTTGTTTATGCTTTTCTTGAAATTGTGGAGCATGGCGTACGTTTTACTGGTTGATAAGGATATTCACAATCCATTCAACCTATATAAGTTGAATGGATTTATTAAACATCCATACAACATCACTTACAACCAATTAAACACCTATTTAATCATAATCACCACTTTATATCTTCTTTTGAACCATTCAAAGATCATTCAACTCCTCCATTCAACTCTATTTCATATCATCACCCACATCCCATTCAACTCTTATTCAATCTTAGTTATCACCCTATTCAATTCTTATACTACTTGCAAATCCTCTAAGCTCTATATAATTAATGCATTTTTTTAAAAATTTTTTGTATGGTTTTATATATCATAGACAAAATCAAGAATCTACCAAGCATATTACCCAACTATGCACCAACTAAGAATCAGTTTTAATTTAGTAGGATCAACAAGGGTACACTGACTATAAACACTCAAAGCTCCAAGCTCTAACCATTATTTCCAGAATTGAAAATCAGCGGTGCCGCCGGCATTCACCTCCATCATTGTTCAAACCTACTATTGAACTAGCAGTGAGGTTCGTGTATCATCGATTCAGGCTATATATCATTCTACATATGCTTCCTATAATTGGCTCATTCTTTAATAAATATACTACTCCATGGGTCTCGTATATCGATTAAAAAAAAAAAAAAAAACTTGTTAACACAAAATTTAATAAATAACTGTTATAGTTGATGAAATAAATAAAATAAATTATTTTCAGTCTAGGCACTTTATGGAATCATTTACGCACACATGCATACAAAAATTGTAGCAATTTGTTTGTTAATTCTTGATATTAGATCATGTAATTAATTGCAAATGGAATTCTTAGCAACACACTAATTGGATATAGTAATTTTAAGGGGAAATGACACAAATACGAAGTTTCTAGGATTCATTGATTCGGTAATTAAAGTATTTTTGGTGCTTTATGAGAACATAAAATAGGTTATGACATGGTCTTTTAGTTCATTTTAACCTCTAATAACCGGTAAAACATGCGACAAGCACAACTTAAACTAAACGAAACTCACATTATGCATTCATAAAGCCAAAAAAAAAGTTGGGGGATCATTTAAACCACAACTCAAAGAATTCATAAAAACCAAAACTTTGCATCGTTTCATGGTGGCATTGTTAGGAGGAAGCTGCAATTAAAGTGGGGATCTAACCAGATTGTTGACCGCGAGTTGGACTCAGTGGAAGGAATGGAATCAGAATGAGGAACTACTTGCGTCGACAATGTCAGTAATTGGAGTAGGACATCGATGATATCGATTTTCCAATTGATCCAACCCTGAGTGGTGCTTCGATGAGGAATATCATGCATGATTGAATTTCTGCACGACAGAAATCCGTCGTTAGCACGTAAGTTCTGTCTATATCTCATTTTGTGCTTCACTTGTTTATCATGCCCCATCGACTTCCACTCTACCGTCAAGACGAGGCGATTAGGAATAGTCTGGAGGACTTTTTCCGGTCATTCCGAGCAAGAGACGGTGACGCTGTGTTTTTGGGAAACAGATACATGCTTGTTAGTGGCGTGTAGTTATGCAGACGATTAAGGAAAATGTTGCTTTTATGAATTCTTTGAGTTTTCGTTTAAATGATCCTCCAACTTATTTTATTTTAGCTTTACAGGGGCATAAGGTGAGTTTCATTTGGTCTAAGTGGTCCATGTCGCATGGTTTACCGGTTATTTGAGGTTAAAAGAGACTAAAAGAGTAGGTCGTAACCTACCTTATGCCCTCATAAAGCACCAAAAATATTTTAGGATTAAATTGATCAACCCTAGAAACTTCATAGGGTATTTGTATCATTTCCTGTAATTTTAATACATTGTCTCATTTTGTTCCACCTTGCCAAAAACATTTAGACGGATTGTCCTCAAACACCATGCTAGAAAATTAGTATTGTTCAATTTAATCTTTTTTTTTTTTTTTTTTTTTTTCAATCTAAATGTATATAGTCATGTCATGACATGTAAGAAATGCTATATTATAGAATTAAAAGACAAAATGAAAAATGTATAGCATTTACGTGTTAATCCAATAAATCTATTAGCCCCTATGTTTGGTCCATTTAGCTCTTAGCTAGGTTTAACCTAATTAGTTTTCATATTTATATCGTCTTTTCATTTTATTGTAAGTGTACATTTTCTTTTATTATTCAATAATGAAACCCTAGCAATATTTTGTTCATTAGTTAAATGGTATCAGAGTTATACTCGATCCGCTGGTTATGATTGTTGGAGGTGACAACTTGAGACCGTGTTAATGAAACCTAGTAGTATTTTGTTCATTAGTTTACTTTGGCGTGTTATGCTTGATAGAATCCCTACTAGGGTAAATTTGGAAATAAGGAAATTGACATGCCTTCAATTTTATGCCCTACTTGTGGGGTACATGAAGAAGATGTTTATCATGTTTTTTTGACGTGTGTGTGATGTGGCTGCTCAAAGTTAGATAATATCATGAAGTGATTAGATCTGCAATTTCGTCCTTTTTTTGAGTGTTGCAAATCTTTTAGCATGGGTGGATTCGGTTTAATGTGGTGGCTCCAAGGAGAAGAATTCTTGAGGTCATTGTTCTTACTGGAGCGATCTATTGTTTATATTACTTGGGGCAGTACGCCCTGTTTCGAAAATTTTGGCGATTCTAGGTTTAGTTTTTTGATTTGTTTCTGTATCCCGTTTGGTTAGGTTTTTTTTTTTTTTTTTTTTTTTTTTTTTTTTTTTTTTGGGTCATTTTTAAGGGTTTTGATTGTTGTTTTGTCATTTTCATATTGCTTTTAGTATTTGCGCTGCGAAATAACCTTTTTTGTCGTTTCCTTGTCACGATTTCTCACTGCCGTCGCAAAAATAACATTTTTCGTTGATATCCTGGCACAATTATTGTAATCATGTGCGGTTATTGTTCAAAAAACAACTTTTCGATAAAATTCTCTAATTGTTTTTGCAATATGACTCCAAAAAATATTTTTCCGAGGCTCGGGCCTCTTTCCTAAAAAAAGTTAGACTCCAAAAAATGACTTTTTAGTTCATTATTACTCATCTTGATGGCAAGAATTATACATACTAGAGTTATTTTACAAAGAAGTTTTTGCAAGGGAAGAACATGTGGGAATTATGATAGGTATATGAAGCAAACGAACATATAGAAGGTTGCATATTATGCAACCTTATTGGAATCATGAGATACTTGTAACTCCATGATTTGCTTTTAGGGTTGATTTTGGAATTTTTCTAGATTCGTTTCATCGCGTGTCTTTGAGATTTTTTTGGAAGGTGTTATAATCAACCATGGAAACTGGAATGTTGCTTCATGTTTAAATTTGGGATTAGCCTGGATTATTTTATCATGTGCCTTTGAGATTTTTCTGGAAGGTATTATAATCAACCATGAAAATGGGAAGGTTGCCTTATGTTTAAATTTGAGGTTATCCTAGTTTTGATTTCATCAAACTTTTAAGTTACAAATTTTAGATTTATCTGGATTTGACTAGTGGTGGTTGTCGGAGGTGAACATGGTGATTGTTGGAGGTGAGCGGGGATGGAAGTTGGAGGTGAGCAGGTTGGATGTCACGAGATCTATTTAATATCGAAGGTAGAGGAGTGGGGTAAAATTGGTGGTTCCCAAATGCAAAGCAATAAAAAAAATCACTAATACATATAAAATAGTCATTTTATATCTGTTCGGGACCAAAATCGGAAAAAAAACAACTACATGGATTATCCAAATTTATAAAAAAGTGTTAAGTACCGACCACACGAATTACTGTGAACTAATGGACCAGATATTTAAATTATTAAAAATTATAAATACATAATTTTTTGAGTAGGGTTGAATGCTTTTTACCCGACGAAATTTGAGCAAAATGGATTTTTTGAAGATTATCTATATTTTGTTTAACAGATTAAAAGATGTATTGAGGTAACATGTGCCCAGTTACAATTTTGCATATTTTGATATAATAATGAAATAACTTGTATATATTTCATCCAAAAAATTTATTTTTTGCACAACTTCAAAAATATATATAACATCATTGCATTAGTAAGCATTTAACTCTTTTAAATACAACAAAATAAAACATGACATTCCCGCAATTTACCCAGAGAAGATTCGCCATTTGGTGAAAGATGTGGATAAGATGGAATAACGTTGCAAACCTTCTCTTGGTCTCCCTTAGTTGAAACCTCTTTGATTTGAACTTGAGACCTACTCTATGGGCCTAGCCAAGTAAGCCACAATATATAGTTAAGTGATATGACGTTTAACAAAATTAATTAACTTGCAATAATAGACCATGAGACCTTTTTGATAAACTTCAAACCACAACCAATCTTGCCAAATTTTATTATAAAGTGCAAACGTAGATAAAATATGTATTTTAGTCTAGTTGATTTTTATATTCAAAATATATATTTTAAAATCAGGATTTTAAAAAATTATGGCACTAATAAGGCTATGAGGAGTGGGGTGCGCTAAGCTCATCATCATCCATAGTAAGCTTGTAAGACCCGAAATTTAGGAGGCCAAGTTGGGGAAGGAAAAACCCTAAGTCAATAAGTCAATTCGTCGAGTCCAAGAAAGAACTCGACGAGTCGGAGAAAGATCCGTGTCACGAATTAAGTGGCCAACTCGGCGAGTCGGGAGATTGTATTTTTAGGATGTTACAAGTTGGTTCACGATTGCAAGATTATGAGCTTTTGAACTTGGCGCATTTATGGAGCAACTCGGCGAGTCAAGTCAACGTGGAAGTGTTGACTTTAACCATGGACCGTTGACTTTGACATTGTCCAGAATTGACTTAGTTTGACTTCTGGAGGGCATTTTGGGACTAAGTGTTGAATTGACTTAGTTTGACTTCTGGAGGGCATTTTGGGACTAAGTGTTATGTTGGTATTGGTAGCTCGGGGAGTCAAGTGATCAACAGTTCGAGGATCTGCCATGCTA